TGTTGAGCAACATTGCTCTCGAGCTGCACCGCTACACCTTATCCCTTACTTACATAGATGTCGCTTCCTTAGTTTAGTGTGATGTAGAGTACGTGCTGCTTGTGTGCTGCGTGTGTGTGTGTGTGTGTGCGTGTGTGCGTGTGCGCGCGCGTGTGTGTGTGTGTGTGTGTATGAACGTGGGTGGGTATCCACTGCTGTTGCGTCTCTTGCTTCCATGCTGAGCAAGCGAACACACTTGACGTGCTTGCTCCTTGTTCGCCGGTGAATCACAGTGGCCGTCGATTATACTTTACTTGATGCTGCGCGAACGAGAACAGTGCGTGTGCACGCGTGATGCGCACAGGTGGTGGTATGACCACGCACGCAGCACACAGACACACATAGAGGGGGCGGGCGAAGAGATGGAATCAGGGACGGAATCAGAGAGACGTGCAGAATGTGAGAGAGAGAGAGAGGGAGGGAGGGAGGGAGGGGCGGGTGAAGGAGATGTATCGAAAGGGAGCCACGCACACACACACATTCACACACACACACACACACACTCTCTCTCTCTCTCTCACACACACACTCACACACTCACACACACACACATACACACACACACACATCAGTAGCCTTCGTTGGAGAAGGTGATTGTGTATTCGGGGAAGCGCTGTTTCAGGATATCGACGGTAGTTTGGTGGTTCGCGCGTCCAAACGCCTACATCAGCAGCGGCGGCGACGGCAGTCGAGGAAGCATTAGGTGTGCGGGGACACAGGTACATATGAGATATGAGATGGCAGCGCACAAAGACGTTGGTGCGCACCACGGCGGTTTTGCGAACACCAGTAAAGCTTACACACAGTTGACATCCGTACCTGCCACTCGCATCAGACACACACACACACACACACACACACACACACACACACACACACACACACACACACACACACACACACACACACGCACGCACACACACGCACACACATGTACACACACACACACTCTCTCTCTCTCTATCTCTCTCTCACCACTGAGTATCCGTAGACGAGGATGCTGCCCTCGTCCTTGTCCACTTCGATGCGCCCCCCGCCCTGCTGCTCACAATCGAATCCATGCGCCATCGCCTCCGGCGTCACCCTGTCCAGTACATCCTCTGCCTCGCAATCATGTGCGTGTGTATGTGTTTTGGATGAGAAGGGTGAGCTGCTGCCGAGCATCGCAACTTGATGGCTGTGGCCGAATAGCAACAACACAGGCAACCATGGCAGGACGGGATTTGTACGAGGTCCGCACATTTTCGCATTGGCTTGTCGCGCAGAGACATGAAAGTGTACAGCAACACGTGCGCGCAACATATACAAACACACACGTACACACACGAACACACATGCACTACACACACGAACACACTCTCTCACGCACTCCAACACACACACCCAAACACACTCCAACACACACCCAAACACTGGACTCACGGTGGTACTCGCAGTCAGCGTAGCCCCGAACAAGCGTATCGGACTCCCCCGTCTTGGGGTTGGTCACTCGCACCAGCACATACTTGAACGTGCCATGCTCCTCAATGTCGACCGGCTCCATGATTGTTGTGGTTGTTGTTGTGCAGGCAGGATGACAGCGTTTGTGTCATGTCATCACAACATGTCACAATTCAACGTCAGTGCCAGATACTACACTTCGTCCTGTCCAATACCGTCTACCCTGCACGATCAAAACACGTCAAGCACGAAATGAGGAGTGACCGTTGCGACGTTTATGTGAAATCTTTAACTAATGTTCCTCTTGCCGTCAAAGTCAAGTTTGCCGTTGCACCATCCCATATCGCACGCATCAACCGCACCGCGCAGCAGCTCGGGTTCCGCTCCAAGGAGGCGCACGCAGCGAGATCACACGCCCCAGTCGCTTGCCGGCACTGCCCAGAGCCCCACACAACCCCTGAAGCCCGCCAAGTGCACCCGCAACCGCATCAGTCGCTCTCGACCGCGCCGAAAACGGCCAACGCAGCGCCAGGTGCCAAAGTCATCTTTACCTTTGGCTTCTGCCCAACGCAACTTTGCCGGCAAAGTTTGACTTGCCCGTACCCTGGTGGTTGACTGGTGTGGTCGTTGTTGGAAGGACCACCGCGGCAGCTGCCTGCGAAACAGCCGTCACACGGCACCGCTGAGCCAGCCAGCCACACCCTCCTTCCCTTGCGTCGCTGGGCTTGATTTGAGCTGCTCTTGGCTTTCCAAGCGCCAACACTCACCCTTTTGCAGTCAAACCAGCAGCTCGCACACTCGCTGTCTTGTTTGGCGCTACGCATTCCTTGCACACGTTCCTCAATTGCTGCGACACAAAGGCCGAGGTGCACTGCGCTGAGCGTTCCACCTGATCCTCTTCACCAACTTCAAGGAAAAATCGCAGCAGAACAAGGTATGGCTGCGGGGTTGTGGACGATGTGTGTGCTTGTGTGCATGTGTGTTTACATGCTTACCTAACAACCCTGCTTGTGAGTGCGAGTGCGAGTGCGAGTGCGAGTGCGAGTGTGTGTGAGTGTGTAAGTGCATGTTCCGAACCATTTTCCTACCTCCTCGTGGTCTCTGCTCTTTTCTCATGTTCGAGCCGGCCCCGTTTGCCCCTCCTCCTCGCCCACACACGCATCCTCCAACGTATCCACCACACATCTACATGTCACACACACACACACACGCGCGCGCGCGCGCGCACTGAAACAATCACACCAATGCCACCCCCTTCCACGCTCACACATCCGCACACACGCGCGAACTTATGCAGATGATGAACACGGGCACACCTGGCGGCGCGCGACGCGCCAGTCACTCGCAAGATGGGCGCCCGCCAGCCAAGAAGGCCCGACGCAAGCGGTTTGTGTGGAACGACACGCTCACTGCACGCGCGCTGGAGTGCTGCATCAGCCTGCGCATTCCCTGCAAGCATGGCAAGCACGGCGTCTCCACGCTGTGGGACCAGGTGGCCACGCACATCAACGAGATTACGCTGCTGCGCCCGCACCACGCGCAACACGACACAACCGCCACCGCCAACACCGGCGGTAGTGGTGGCGCCCACAACAACAACAACAACGACAACAACGTCAGCAGCAGCAGCAGCAACAACAACCATGGCGGTAGTGGCAGCGTGCCACACGCAGGCACGCCCGTGACGGAAAGCCCCAACAGCAGCACGCTGTCCAGCGCACCGCCGCCGTCATCATCAACGCCAGGCAGCACCGCTGGTGGCGATGACAGCGTGTCAGGCGCAGCAACAGCGACACCAACGAGCACTGCACCAGCAGTCATGCCACAAACAACGACAACGGCAACATCAGCCGCATCCGGCACGCCATCGGCAGCGGCGGTCATGACACCGGGCAGCATGCATATGGGGACATCACCCCGCACGCTGGCAGACGTGAACCCGGAGGACCTGTTGACCGGCGACCGCGTGCGCAAACGCATCATGAGCGTGATTGATAAGGTGGCACGCACGGACCGCCTGCAGCAGCAGCACGCCCTGCAGGTTGCAGCGGAGGGCACGGCGCTGGGCCTGGCGCCTCCGGAAGAGGACTTCTTCTCGGAGGAGGTGGTGCAACTTGCACGGAGGTTCATTATGATGCGTGGCGAGGCATTCCACCTGCGTGACGAGGGTGGCAGCGGCAGCGGCGGCGGTGCTGGTGACGTGTCCATGACGTCGATGGATTTGAGCCCGCTTCCTTCGACCAACACCAGCATAATGGGTGGTGGTGGTGGTGTTGCCGGCGCACACGCGCACATGCACGCGCCCGCCACACACGCACACGCGCACCCTTCCCCATTCCCTCAGCAGCAGCAGCAGCAGCAGCAGCAGCAGCAGCAGCAGCAGCAGCAGCAGCAGCAGCAGCAGCAGCATGCGTTGTTGCTGCCACCGCACTCGCACGCCCCCGTGCACGCACATGCGCACGCGCACGCACCAGCAACGTCTGCAGCAGCAGCGGCAACCGCGTCAACACCAACATCAGCAGCAGCATCAACAGCAATGACAGTGACATCTGCAGCCGAGACAGCACCACCAGCAGCAACGGCCGGTGGCCATGATGGGCATGATGGTGATGGTGATGACGGTAACGGCGATGGTGGTGATGGTGGTGGTGGTGGTGGTGGCAGCGGCCGTGCGAGTCCAATGGAAGAACGAGGCAATAACAGCACAGGTGATGAGGGGAGAGCGCAGGACGCAGCTGCAGCCGCCACACACCACCAAGCCACAGCCGCAACCAGCAACACCGCCAACAGCACCGCCAACAGCAGCAACGGCGATGATGGCAGCACCAGCAGCAGCGGTGGTGATGGGATGATGAATACGGGTCGCGTTGCGCGCGGCAGCCGGGTGAGTTGTCGTTTGCATTGTTGTGTCTGTGATTGGGGGGGGGGAAGTGGGTGGGTGGTGGTGTTGACACGTGCGTATGTGTTTGTGTTGTTTTATCAAAGAAGCGCACGCACACAATCACACACACATACACACACACACACTAACACACACACACACACACACTAACACACACACACACACGAACACACACACGCACTCACTGCCTCTCACCAGGGGTCGGCTGGGCGGCGCGCGGCACGGGCACAGGGGCTGCCAACACCAGCACCAGCGACAATGGCGATGGCGAGTGCAATGGGGCAGGAGGCGCTGCAACACGACCGCCTCACGTCTCTCCTCTACAACGCCGTCAACCGCCTGCTCGACAAGTGAGTTGCGTCATCACGTCAGGCTGTGTCGCGGTGTGTGTGTCTGTGTGTCTGTGTGTCTGTGTGTCTGTGTGTCTGTGTGTGCGTGTGTGTGTGTTTTATGCTTGAGTTTCATTGCTGTTTGCTTCAATCTCGAACCCCCAACTCGTCTCATGCACAACCCCCTCCGCCCCCCCCCCCCACACACATCTACTCAACACCCTCCCTTCCCTCCCCTCCCCTCCATTGTCTCTGCGTGCACAGGTTTGATTCGCTTGAGGCGCGGCTGGGGGACGTGCAGCGCGTGGTGAAGCAGCAGGAGGAGATGCAGAAGGTGATGGTGAACTTGGACGCGTTCATGTCGCACGCCATGATGGCACAGCAGACGACCCACCACCAGCACCAGCACCACCACCAGCAGCAGCAGCAGCAACAACAGCAGCAACAACAACAGCAGCAACAACAGCCACACGCACAGCAACATCACACCATGCATGCCGCACAACAGCAACAACAACAGCAGCAGCAGCAGCAGCAACACATGTCCCATCAGCACGAGCTGCCCAAGGCACCACCGGTATTGGCGCACCACCACCACCCGCACCACATGCACTTGCAGCAGCAACAACATCAACAACATCAACAACAGCAGCAACAGCAACAGCAGCCCCAGCAACAAGCTCAGCCGCAGCAGCAGCAGCAGCAGCAGCAGCAGCATGATCCCCACCATCACCACCAGCAACATCACCAGCACCCACGCCACCCTCAGCCGCCACACCCACCCCACGCAGCTTAACTGTGGCGTGTGTGTGTGTGTGTGTGTGTGTGTGTGTGTGTGTGTGTGTGTGTGTGTGTGTGTGTGTGTGTGTGTGTGTGTGTGTGTGTGTGTGTGTTGAGCGACACGGAGTACCACAGCACCTTTCTTTCTTCTTTCTTTTTGGGTGCATCTCATGCTGTGGCTTCCCCATTTCACGACACGTGCGCTTGTTTGTTTGTCACATCATGTCACTTCCACCTCCTCCTGTTGTTGTTTGGCTGGCAAGTTCTTCGCATGTGTGCTGTTTTGGTTGTTACATTAGTTCTCGCTGTTTGCTTTATGTTGGTCGCGGGCCACTGGGCCATTGCTTCCACACGTTTCCTTCTGCACGGGGGGGGGCAAGCAGTTGTGACATGGCAGCGTCGCTTCATGTCACAGGCAGGCGTTAACTGATGCCTTGTTGTTCCCTCTCCAAGTCGTTCCCGCTTCTTCGTTCAACATGCACATGCAACAACAACACTGGCTGGCTGGCCTTCTTGAGAAGCGTGCTTGCATGCACCCGCATTGCACGCCCTGCTCCTATGACCATTGGTCACGGCCACTTGTTTCTCCCATGCGAAGACACGTGATGTGACATGCATGCATGCGCGTTGATACAATCAGTGAGCGTGTTGTTGTTGTTGTTGTTGTTGTTGTTGTTGTTGTTGTTGTTGTTGCTCGTCCGCCTTTTGTGTGCCCGCCTGCCTCCCCTTAAAACACCGAGCACTTTCGTTGTGTTGTTTGCAAGGTGGCGAGCAAATCATTGCAATGTGCGATGCATGGCAAGCAAGCTGGGTCGAAGCGGTGGGATGACGACGACGCTCATGTCCCGCCACACCACACCACGCCACGCCAGCAACCAGTGGGTGGTACAAACAAAACCAAGCAGAGGAGGAGCACTCACTGACTGAGCGAGGGAGCGAGCATGACTTGAGAAGGTGTTTACACCGCCACTGCCACGCCTTGCATTCCACGTGCACCCATCTGCGCGTGCACGCTCCTCGCCATATCAGCCACGTTCACATGTCACACACATTTCTTCGTTTCAAGCTGGCGGTTGTCGTCGTCATGTTTTCTCTCGCCACTTTGATGAAATGACACGCACAAGCAGCAGCTGACACAAACCACAGCTTGATGCCATCATTTTTGATGAAACGCAACCCAACTGCTGTTCCTTGGGGCGGGGCAAAACAGCGAAGCTTTGCCTGCCGTTGGCAGAACGGTCCTCAAGCAGCCCAACCCAGCGCGCAACCTTGAAACCCTGACCAATGGTTGCACATCACAACCACACATCCACACCAACGCACGCCAACCACATGTTCAGCCTACAACCGTCACCGCCATTGTTGCCCCAACCAACGCCACGCTGCCTTGACGTATTGACAGCACCGTACTGCTTGCATCAACACACACACACACACAACTGTAACGGAAAGCTGAATGTCATCACTGCGCAGGAGGCGAAACCTGACCAGGGTTTGTTGATGCGGGGAACAATGGCGCAGCGAACGTCAAGGCACTCGGCCGTGCATGCATGCAATGAGTCTCGTGCAGCAGCAATATGAGCAATACGTGCAATGCGCTTGGGTGCCTGTGTGACAGGGCGTGCACACCGCCCCTCTCGCACCTCCGCCCGCCAGACCCAAACTCCCACAAACACACACACACACACAAACACACCATCACTCGCAGAAAATGCATGCAGGCAACAACCACTTGTCCCCCCAACCACACATTTCGTTGACAACAAAACTATCTGTGTTGAAGCAATGCCCACCCCCACAAAGCCACCAGCACATTAACAACCGTTTCCACCCCTGCATGCGCTTGTTGGCAAGCACCCAACTGTTCACTGACGAGCACATGCCGTTTTTTTTTTTGCTTTCGTCGTTCCTCCCTTGCGCGAGCCAGGTGCGGCCACACACACACACACACAAGCGAAAAAAAAAAACTTACAGCCACACACGCCGCACACTTGCACCACACACACACACCTGCATGCTGCGAGCTGCACCCGATGCCTGCGTCTTTTGTGGTTCATTTCTTCCTCAACAACCTGTTCCTCTCCCACCCGTTGCACGCCTGTGTTGCTGTTGTTGTTCCTCAGAGACACATACACATACACATACACCCAGCCTCCGCTTTGCTCCACCTTCCGTTGGATTGAAGCTTGCGTGTGCTGTGCGCACCCATTTTCTCCTTTTCCCACTTGTCTGCCCTGGTGAACCGAGTTCACTCTCCTCCTCTCCATTGAGTGATTGTCATATCCTCAGATATATCCGCTCCATACCACCACCACCACCACCACCACCACCAAGATGCCGCGTGCAACAAACACACGCGCGGCTTGGCTTTCGGCCTGCGTGCTCCTCTTTACCCTCGTTGCCTCTTGGCAACAGCCCATCGTCAACGCCGTGAGTGCCACCGCCTCACTGCATGCGCTTCGTCTTTGTGTTCTCTACCTCTCTGCTTCTCTGCTTCTCCTTTGTTCCTCTGCTCCTCCTTCTCAGCAAGACAAGCACGCGAAGAAGCATCTCCACCAACAGCCTGCTCACCATTGTTCCATTCACGCGTGCTGCCTGACAGGAGGTTTCCCTTGGCGATGCTCTGACCGCGTCGGAATTCCTTGATGAGCTGGTGCGTGCATGTGCTCGCTTCCTCGCTTCCTCGCTTGCTTTCTTGCTTGTATGCATGGTGGTGGCACGAGCTGTCCATCACCCAGAGCGAGCGGGCAATGCCTTGCCGTCCGTGGCGCTGTCGCCCTTGTGTTTAAAGAAAGCTCGGTTCTCAACAACGCATATCCCTCATCCGACCACCCCCCTCCCCATCTCACCCTTCACCCTTCTTCTTCGAATGCAAAATCGCTCCACAGGCCCTCAACGACTGCGCCCAACTGACTGACTCCAACTCCGGGTACTACTTCACAAGCGGCCAGGAAACAGGCGTCTCTCGCACACGCTGCGACACAGGTGAGGGCGCGTGCCACCGTGCGTGGCTTGCTTTGTCTTCTCCTTTGTGACGTGAAGGAGTGTTGCTGCCCTCTTCAGCCTGTTTGCCTCTCTCTGCTTCATTTATTGTGACTGATGACGGATTTGCCTGCATGCAACCCCCCAACACACACACACACACACACACACACACACACAGGTGGTTCCTGCCAGTGCCGTCGTTTCAGCGAGTGCAGCGATGGATGTAAGTCGGTCTTCAACTGGCTGTGTTTCATGCGTGCATGCATGCACATACGCTGAGAGCATTGGCGAGCGCATGCAAGGGATGGCTGGCCGCTTAGCTCCGCGTGCCCCCCTTCCGCTCCCCCCACACATCGTGCTCACAACTGAATGAACTTCCCTGTCCACCCCACATTGGCATTATCATCATCATCTAGCTTGCCTTGGCATCAACCGCTGCACCGACAGCACCGGCACCGGCTGCAAGGCCATCGCCAACTGCACCCAGACCGTCTTTGAGACCACATTCGAGGTGCGATTGTCGCGGACAGTCACCGCGCTGTGTTGCTTCACAAGGCCTCACCTTACGTGCGTTGGTTGGTGTGGGACAAGTCATAACCCTTTCCTTCCCAATGTCTCACCACTTTTCCGTGATTGTGTGCCCGATGTCCCATTCCATCTCCTCAGGTTGTCGTTGACTGCCGCGAGCCGCTTGATGAGCGCGATGAGGCCGGTATCGACTTCTTTGGCATGCGCTGGAAGCAGGCCCTCGCTGAGGACTGCAGCATTGGACGCGTGAGTTGCTCACGCGCCTGTGTCTATGTTGTGTGATTGTGTTGAGTTTGTGTGTACGCGTCTGCGTGTGTGCTTTGGTGTGTGCAGTTGTTTTCCGTATCAATACTGATCGCTCGCTTGGTCGTTACCACCTTTGTTTGCGTCCTCCCTTCATTGTCATTGCCTCACACACTCATCCCCCTTTGCGCCTCTTTCATATCCACAGGTGTGCCGCTACAATGGCGACAGCGCAGCCACGATTGAGGTCATCAACAGCACCACCTTCCGCACCACCACCCTCAACCCAGCGCACGTGGACCACCTCACCTTCTGCGCACAGACGCAAACCTTCAAGTTCAACCGCTGTGAAGTCCTGAGCGTGCGCTTGATCCCAGACACAACAACAACGACAACAACCACAACGACGACCACTACTACTACCACCACCACGACCACGACGACAACCACCACAACTACAACGACAACGACGACCACGACCACAACAACTACGACAACCACCCTCCCACCCTGCTCCTACAACTGTGAGGACGAGTTTGACAACTGCGTCGGCGTGGTAAGACAGCCAACAGTGTGCCGTTGTTTGCGTGTCTACCTATGTATGCGGGCATGAATGTTGTGTGTTTGCTGCGTGGCGTAGCTTGCTCGCCTGCATGCACCTGTTGCCCATTGGCCTCGAACCACAACGCTCATTTGGCGCCTCGCTCACTCCGCCTTCTCACCACCACCACCACCACGCCCACTTTAACGCCAACAGGCCATGTTCAGCGCCAACGTTCGCGACACCTTCACGGACTGCGTTGCGGCCACGGATCACTACAGCATCTCAAACCTGATTGACTTTGGCATCTGCGTTGGCGAGTGCGACGAAATCTCAAGCTCAAGCAACCTCACCCAGATGCAGGCCGTGCTCGAGTGCTAGTGAGTTGGCTGTGGTGCTGCGTGCGCGTGCATTCGCGTTGCTGCTGCCTGATTGCACACAAACCACTTTGTTGTGCCGTGTTCACTCGCTTCATGTGCTCGCGTGTGCTTCGCCGCGAACCTGCTTCCGGCATCGCCCTCCCACACCATCTTACCCACACATGCATGCACGCCACCAACAGCGTGAACTGCGCCAACGACACGGCGGACATTGGCTGCGAGGTGACCACCACCACTACGACAACCACGACCACAACCACCCTTCCCTACGACTTGCTGGATGAAGTCAGCGACTACGCCACATTTGTCTCCAACCAGGTGTGTCACTCTCGCTGTGATTGCGCCCAGGCAAACGTGTTACGGTGCATTGCAGTCTATGTGCATGTCTGTGCATGATGTGCATTCGTGCTCTGTTGTGTGTGACGCTTATTCCCGCTGTTGTCCCCCACTCACTACTCACCATCACATACTCACGTACCCGTCATGTACTCCCCTTCATTCTCACCTTGTCCGTGGTTAGACGCGCGCTGGCTGCACGCGTTCCGTGTTGTCGACCAACGGCTACTACCTCCTCTCTGGCGCAGCTTCTGGCGTGCAGCAAGCCGAGTGTGACCGCGGTGGCGGCTGCAGCTGCTTCCACTTTGAGGAATGCAACGACCCCGAGGGTGAGTGCCAACTTGCCTTGCTGTTGCTGCAGATAGTGCTGATTGACACTCTTCTGTACTTGCGTACGTGATGTGTGTTCAAGTAACTGCTTGCAAGCAAAGTAACTCGCCCACTAATGTCGTTGCTGCAGTTGTTTTGCTGATCACTCAATCACTCACAAACATGGCTTTCGCATCTACCATGTACATCCTGTTTCGGATGTGTCACAATGCAGGCATGACATGCATGGAGGTGTACGAGTGCGAGACCAAGAGCGGCAGCGCCGACAGCTGCTACACCTTTGACGAGTGCGTGGAGGATGACTTCCACATTGAGGCCATCATGGCAGTGTCGTGCAACGATAGCCAGCTGCTGGAGACCTTCAACAACACCATGCTGGACGACTTTGCTGCCGACCTCAAGGCATCGCTTATCGAGGACTGCAGCGACCTTCCTCTGGTGCGTTTGTGATTGTGAGAACGGCTGTTGTTGCGCTTTTGCGCTGCTGTGTGGCACCAATGCTGGCTTGCTTGGTGCATGGTGTTGCTTTCGCTACATTGAACTGACGTTGTTTTCCCTTGCTTCCTGTTACGTCCACCACCCAACGCACGCGTGTACAGCAATGCCATGTCAAGTCTGATGATTACACGGACATTGAGGTTCTGGACAACAGCACCTTTGTCATCGGCGTCTACAAGCCAAACGTGAGTTGAGCTTGCCTTAATGTGATGTGGGCTGAGATCTTTGTCGTTTGTGGCATGGTATTTGCACTGTACAACCGTTCCACGAGCCTCCTACAGCTCACGAACACATGCTCACGAACACACACACACACACGCACACACTACCACTACCACACTGGCAAACACGAACAGGACATTGCCCGCCTTTCGAGCTGCGCGGAGCTGAGCTCCTTCACCTTCCACGGTTGCACCGTCGAGCTGGTGGAGCGATATGATGCGGAGGCGCAGGTCATTGTGACGCAGCGGTTTGTGGTGACGGGCGTCAACGAGTCCCAGGTCAACACCACCGCCATCAAGCAGCGGCTGTTGGCCAAGCTGCCGCAGTTCACTGCCGACCAGATTGAGGTGCGCATTGAACGGATCAGCCGTCGTGCAACGAACGATGGCTTCATTGTTGTCATCGAGTACACCGCCGATGACGAGGATGCTGAGGAGGTGGTGAACACCGCCAACGAGGTGGCAAACAACGGCACCCTCACTGAGGCGATCGAGGAAGACACGGGCGAAATGGTGGATACGATGCAGGAAGGCGATGTCATGATTGACTTGGTCACCACTACCACTACGACGACTACTACTACTACTACCACAACAACGACGACGACTACCACAACGACAACTACGACTACGACAACTACGACTACGACAACTACGACTACGACAACCACGACTACGACAACTACGACTACGACAACCACCACAACGACAACTACGACTACGACAACCACCACAACGACTACGACGACTACGACTACGACAACAACAACAACTACTACCACCACTACTACTACTACGACGACAACTACTACTACTACTACTACTACTACTACTACTACTACCACTACCACCACTACCACAACCACAACCACAACCACCACTACTACGACTACTACGACGACGACTACCACCACTACCACAACCACTACGACGACGACGACTACTACGACTACACCACACTACAACGACACTACCACTACAACGACGACCACA